TTTTAAATTTAATTTAATATGAGGTACGAATATAAAATCAGCCATCGATGTAAAGAGTAGACACAGACACAGTTGTCGGCTTCCGTGTATCTTCGGATGTTGCTTTTCTTTGGGCTGTTCTAAACAGTTACCAATCCCTCTGCTTTTATTACTTTTGTTGCAACGAATCATTAACTTTTCTAATATTAAGAAAGTGGAAAGTCTCGATGGGTTGAGAAAAATAAAAATGCTTACCACAATATTTTTTAATTATATAATTTAAATGCTAAACAATATAAAGTCATTAATTAAAGTCGCACATTGTTGGTTCTTTTATAATTTCTTACTTAGCCATTATTTAACAGGTTACGTGAATGTGGCCAGAGCAACAACAATACTCAATGCATTTCATTAAATTGCTCTATCAAAGTATTTATCATAATCATATTAATTGTATGTTTCTATACAATTTATATAACCACAAGCTTTCTTCGGATTTTTAAATTACAGTAACATTAATGCTTAATGCATATTTAGCTGAAGATGCATAGAAGATTTTACATTAAAAATCATAAAACTCCAAGCTCAATATTGCTTACGGTTGCTTTAATTAATTTACTTTTTTCTTCTTTCTTCATGCACTTTTATTTAACAGATACTCTTCACAGAGACAACTTCAGTTTAAATTTGTTCTGGTTTTTTATTTGTTTTTTTATGAATTTCATTGTCAGTTTGTTATAATTTTACAACTAAAAACATAAATTTATGTACGTGTTCCTATGTGCTGTGATTTAAATGTTGCTTATGTTGCAGTATTTGATGTTGCATGCACTTCGATGCACTGCTTTTTCATGGATTTCATGGAAAAGATTTTGCATTACCGCAAACAAAACAACTGAATTGTACATTTGATGATGAAATGCATTCATATATCGTGCAACGAAAACAGTTATTTTATCTGATAACAGTAATATTATTATTAAAAAGATACATATGCATTTTACGGTGTGTCAACAAAAGTTTTTGGGAAACATTACACATAAACTTGATACCAAAAACTCGCAGAAGATGTAATCGGTGATGGTTATTTTCCGTAGTTTTTTTTACTTAATTATGAAAAAATTAGCACCTCCTTGTACCGGCATTATTTTTAAATAGAAATGTGAGCAGCAACTCCGTGATTTTGATATCACGTAGTTATATGAGCTAATGAATTTTTGATTTATTTAATTAATATAATTATATTTTTCATGTATAAACTGCTGATAAAGATAATTTTTTTTTTTAAATTTATTCACAAATACTAAGAATTAATTCATAAAACGAAATTTATGTAAAACTTTTCGATGACTGTGCATAATTCTCTCAACACTGAATATAATTAGTTAAACAAAAATTTTAAGAAGTAAGAAAATGTGGTTAGAAAACACAAATAACATAATATAACAAATGATTGAACAAGGAAAAAAATCGTTATCCCAAAGATGTCCTCCCCATGCTCGAATACCATACTCAAATACAGCTACATACCATAGTATAAAGTTGAATTGAAAAGAACACATAAAGAAAAAGCAAGTAGAGCTAGAATTAAAATACAAAAATTATATTGGCTATATATTGGTTTATAAATTGATAATATAGAAGCAACTATTAGCTCCGGTGTAGACGTACGTAATCTATTTATGGGGATGTGCACCAAAATCGTCGATGCATATCATTCAAAATTTTCAAAACAAAGTTTTAAGAAATTTAGTCAACGCTTCATGGTTCATTAGGAATACTGACCTTCATCGGGACTTAAAGATCGAATCTGTAGATGCTGTAGATACAAAAATTTGTAACAAAGCATCTAGCAACAGTAACAACAACACCCAAATGAAACAGCCCACCATCTTGTCTAATACAACTGGCCTGTTAAGATGACTTAAACGAAGTAAGCATATCATATATACTCCCGAATTAGTAGTCTAATAATAATTTAGTTTACTACTAAATTAGCACTAAACCTTTGGTAACTTGACATTTGTAAAAGTTATTGTAAAATATAACAAAACTGCTTGATAGTACTCTATCAATTGAAGTAGTCGTAGTCAAACATGAAATGAAACACGCATTTATATTATTGTACGAATTGTGTATAATAAAAAAAAATTATGCTAAAGATTTAAAACAACAGTGTTCACTTACTGTTTTACTAAATGTCTTACTAAAGTGTGCCTTTTCAACTGAACGCTGTTCCTTCTCTAACTTCTTCGTACATATAAGGTCTAGTGTAAGAACAGTGTCTTGTCCATTGTAATATAACAGGCTAGTTTCTGTACTTAAGACAACATAGTTGCTACCCCAATAAATCTCGTAAGGGATATTTACTTAACCACACTGAATTTGCTAAACAGCATACAATTCTATCTTTGGAAAATTTACATCAGAACTTAAGAACTAAAAAAATCGTTCAACGACTTTTCTGCTACTAATGATTGTAAGAAAAAACAACGGACCTTATTTTTATCATATGCAACTCCATGCCAAGAAATGGTTATTAGTTAAAAATTAGAAAAAAAAGTTAAAAGTTTGAAAATTGAGGAAAATACGCACAAGAACATGCTTTACTCAAGAGCAAAACGGATCTCCTAAGTCTAATTATGTACATTTAAAATTATAGAAATAATTTTAGGGCTACGTGATTTTAGTTTCACTTAATTCCTACATAAAAAAATTAAATTGATTTATAGAAAGTAGTTTTCTTATAGTACAGAAATAATATTTTTGATTCCAATTATTAAACTAGTGACTATATACTCTTAAAGCAACAAATTACTCTTAAGATATAGATACAAATGCATTAGTGAAAAACATGGATAATAAAAAGTCAGTTATAAAAAATCTTTGTGTCCTTAAGAATTCTCTCCTGTCGCTTGATTTCTCAAACATAGACAATTTCTCGAATAAAGTTTATAAAATGAAAATTGCAGAAGAGTTGTATCTAATATTGTTAATACTAAACAACCAGATGTTTGAATGAGATTTATATATCGTTTTCTACTATCCCATATGCTCTCTACAGCGGATACGATAGCACTAAAGATTATCATAGCTTAATTTTAGCAACCTTTAAAAAGCTACAGCATCCTTTAGCTTTTAGCTATAAGCAAATTATTATTATACTTTTGACTTGTGAACTTCAAGAAAAAATTAAAATCAGCGCTTATATGCCCTAATGAATTAAACGTCATAAATTCATTTTTGTTATTTCGTTATAATTTTATTATAAATTATTTTTAGGAAAAATTAGAAAATGAGACTGGTTTTGCTTTGCAAAGTTATAAAATAATAAATCTAAAAAATTTTTTCCAAATTTCATTTTAATAAATAATAAATTGGAAAATATGTTTTTAAGCTAAAATATAAATATTCAATAATAACGTATACTAAAAAGAATACTTATTTAATGAACATATAAAATATGACTATTAAAACGAAATTCACTGAAAGGTTATTGACACAGAAAAAAATGAAAAAATGTAAAAATTTTTTTAGAAAATTAAGTGGTGTTCACCTAACGACTAAATTCAGCAATTCAAAGTTAAATATACAAAAGCATCGATCATTATGTATAAGCATCAAAACGGTCACTGAACGTGTCAAAATCAGATACAACAGACCAACAACAAAAGAAAAACTTCAAACTGGGCTCAAAGCAAAATATTTTAAAAATGTTCGAATGCACGTTTCTATCTTTCCATGAATAGATATAAATGCATTTACATATGTTGGGCAATATCATATCTATCTATCTATGCATAAAATGGATACATATATTTTTGTATGTAGGTATATATATACAATATATAGTAATAAAGTTTTTACACATATATGTATAAATGAGTATAATTAATAAAAAAAAAATCTGTTTTCCCTTTACAAAAACTGTAATTAAAAACAGGCAGTTTTTTAAATAAACTTTTTATTTTAAAAAAAGAATTTATAAATTTGTTTTTGGATTAAAACGCAAATGGACTTGAAATATTTGAAGTTTATTTATGTTTATGTGATTATGGTTTTTATAAAATGAAAATAAATGCTTTTTAATAAATAATAAAAAATAAATGACTGACAAGTTCACAATTGAGTGAGATCATTACACTTTCCTGCATATATCAGTATGGTAATGAATAACTAATACTATATACATGTACCCTTTAATAATTATTACTGTGCATATATGCGGATTATATTTATTACCCCACACCACAATAAGCATTTATGTTCATAATTATAGAGAAAAATAAACAAAATCACAAGTAAAATAATATAAACATACATGAACATGCAAAATCTGAAAAAATAAAGCAAATTCAATTCAAAAGAAAAACAATTTATAAACTGTAGTACAAGAGTATCTAAACAAAGCAAGGTTAGATTTTGCAAGATCATGAAATACAGAAACTCGTCTACACCATCTACAACCAGTACATATGGTACTATATATCGATCATGCTCTTGTACTCATAGTCATAGTCGTACTTACTGTGTATCTAACTCAATTGTTGCTAGCGTGTTATTATACGCTTGAGGGTACCCTGGTTGCTTTTTTGTTAAATATAATTAAGCAAAATTAAAGTAAAAGAACCGCTCAAGTGTGCGGCACCACCATCAGCAATTGCTTAAAATGACAGTAAGCCAATGGAGTGTTCACAGCTGTTGACATTGCCCGAACAACTGTCAGGCTAAGATGTCAAGATCAATCTATTTTTTTTTTAGTTATTTTTTGTATTTCGTTTTATAGAGTGCATATGTCAATGGGTTGTATGATTTGTACAAGTTACTGTATTATGAAAAATTAATTATTTATTTACATCAATTTGAGTTTTTTAATATATTTTTTTTTATTTTACGGCCGCACGAATTTTTTTTTTTTTTAAATTATTTTTTTTGTTTGTTAATAGTTACTTTTTTATAAAAAATTAATTAATTTATTTACAGCAAATCAATATTAATCTTTTAATATTTCTTCTTTACAGCCGAATGAGTCTGGCTTTGTCCTACTTGGTGATGTCTCATTAGAAACATCCACAGATTGTGATTATGATGAATTCTCCATGGGACCACCGTCACCATGTGACGTGGAGTTTGAGAATGCCAACATCGTTATTGATGGAAAATCTAGTATTCGTAAGAAATCCAAAGAATCAATGGTATGTATAAACCGATATTTATGCTGTGTATCACATATCTTGTATAATATATCATTAACTGAAAACTGTCAATTTGACAGTTAAACATGTGCCAGTAGCGCTCCAACAGTTATTAATTACTTTTTTTATTGTTGTTTCACCGCACTTCATGTGGCGAAAATATCTACCAAAACGTATTCAAAAACACCTACGTAAATAATTTCTACTTTATTATTTACATTTACTTTTCTGGATCAAATTAAGAAATTGAAATTGTAAAATTAGGAAATAATTTAGGAATTTTTACGGCCTTAAATAAATATTTTTCATTATATACAATTATAGAAAACTTATGTTTTGTCTTGTATTGAAAAAATAGAAAAAATATTTTTATTAGAAAGTTATAAGGGACCAAAATATTCAGTACCACTGATTATAATTATTATTATTATTATTATCATTATCATTACCATTAGGCTTACATATGGGTTTTGTTTTTATACCAACACGAAAACAGCTACCCTTATGCGAAACTATATAAACCTATGGGTTACTCAATTGCATAGAGTATTTGGAATAACCTAAAGTGTTGAAATAAATTAAAATTTATAGTAATACCGTATATAGGAAATGTAGGGATAATTATCTTCATACACACAAGAAAATAATATTAGTGTAATTAAATTTAAATAAATTTAAATTTTGAAAATATATTTCGTTCCGTATTTAGGAATGATGGCTGTAAAATGCGAACTGAATGAATTTTTTTTCATATATAAATTGAGAAAAATACTTATGTCTTTAAAACATAATGGTATTTATTAATGTGAAATCTAAAGAAAATGAAAATTCTTAATTTGTAAGAATAATAATAACATACTGACATACTATAAAACTCAAAATTTATCGATAATTATATAATATATGTTTCAATGACAATTTAATAAGCCCACAAGAACAATGCTATTTATCATCTTGATCTTTTTTTAATTAGAGGTCTTAATTATTTAATTTTCTTTTTGTCGAATGTGACGCGTCTAATGACGAAAAGAAACTGGTAGGGTTCGAACAGTAATGAAAATGCAACAACAAAAATTTGATTAAGTTATTGAAATTTGGCTGACCCTTCAACTCTATCAGTACTGAGTATTGAGTACTTGGCAATATGTACTCTAAACAGCGTTGTATGATCAGCCAAATTTCAATAAATTATTCAAATTTTTGTTGTTGCTTCTTTATTTCTGTTCGAACCCTTCTATAGACCTTAATGATTCGTATGATTCTGTTAACGAATAAATCTGTCTATACACTGGCTTGACTATTGGCAAGTTACAAAAGTTTTAGTTTTATATTATTATATATAACAAAATAACAAGTCTTAAAAATTTTTAATTATAATGACTTTTAAAAGTTATAATCTTCCATTATTTAAAAGAGCTGTTGATCAGAGGTTAAATAGCCGTTTTAGTATTTATCGTATAAAAATTTAAAATTGTAGAATGATAATATTCTATATGTTATATCGTAACACATAAACATGTGGCAGGAGATTCGATAAAATTATATTAAGGCTTCCAAAAACTTATTGTCAAGTTAAAAAAAATTGTTATTTTTTTGGATTTCATAACATGTAGTGATATAATAACAATTTTAATAATATATAAATAATTGAATCTGTATTTTTTTATTTCAAAAATGCTTATAGAATTTATTTTAAAACATCGTTGTTTTGAATATTTATTCAATCATTTATCAACTGACATTGTATACATATGAGAACAGTCATTCCTTTATTATAATCATTCATATATGTCTACAATTTTTATTAATTTGACATATGCCAATTAATGACATCATATCAAAATAATTTTAATTCATACACAAAATGTTTTTCACATTTTTTATGAGATTACAATATTTTTATATTGTTTGATTAGATTATTTCTATGAGCTGAGACGATCGACTTTGACTACTAGGTTGTTTACTGTATTTTTGGTATTATAAATACCTACAATAATATTAATTGTTGAAACATATATTAAACGCAATTGTTTGAATGTTCGAAATCAAATATTCTATTTATATGCAATACTAAAAAATTCGTCATTATAAGATCTCACATTATTATCAATTACCAAAAAAAAAAAAAACCTTTGCAAATATCTACTGCATAATTATTTTCTTTAGAAAACGGAAGTTGGTTTATTTGAAATTATAAGGAAATAATAAACTTTAATGCTTATTTTGAAAACATAAAAGTCGGGGACTTAATATTAAAATTTAGATTGACAGAATTTTTATTTAAAGTTTATGAAGCCAATGTTTCTCCACGTTCGCTGTAAATTTGATATACTATTTTTTTATGTATATCAAGTGCTTTTAACCAATTAAAATACCGGACGTAGTGTTATGTAGTCAATATTTCTATAATTTATCTGTGTATTAGATTTTCCATTTTTTTATCTATAACAAGAACTTTTAATCAGTTAAGGTATCAGAGGTTACGTTATACAACATCAAAATTTTCTATTTTGCAATGAGTATATCTCTCGCCAACATAAGATGGCTATCGAAACTAAACGTGTCTCCTTAATTATTAATTATATAAAATTTTTAATATAATTTCAAAATATATATGGCATGACATATATGATATCAAGCACAATAAGAATCTATTGCCATTACGTATGCATATTTTGTTGTTATTGAGGTCTTATTGGAAGATATTATTGGGGGATGAGGATGACATAAGAAGAAGAATTCTGTTGTTTGAATTTGAAACTCCCTTAAGTAATAAGGATGAATAAAAATCCATTCACAAAAAAAGAACAATATTGCTTTTGCTGTTTCTTATGTTATAAATTATATATTATATTTTGATCCAAATTTAATAAGAATAATTTAATAGATAGATAGAAGTGACCCTATGCTCCACTTAGGAGAGAAGAACAGCAGTAAGTAAGATGATAGATTTAATTTAATAGATAATATATTAAACTTATAATAAAAAAAATGATTAGGATCATCAAAGAACCGGTATTAAACTAAGCTTACTTCAGTAAATATAAAACAAATCAAATTATTTATTTTGACGTATTTCTTATGGAATCTAAACTGAGTATTAATTTCACGCCTTTGTTTACGACAGCACGTCTGCTATGTGCTTCAAATACAGAATTAAACTGAAAAAAGATCAGATATTTTTTATTTAAAATTCTACGCCACATCTCCATATTAAGTCAGCAAATGAAAATAAAATATTATGCGAGCGCAATTTCTGTAAAAAAAAATGTAATTTTAATAATAAGTGACACAATTTCATTTATGACTTTTTTGTGTGACTTTATTGAGATTTACTGAAATATCAGAAAATAAATCCGAGCTTCCGTTGTGAAGACATATGTGCATGGGCGCGGATGTTAAGAGATTTTAGTACATTTATTTAGTACATTTTTTAGGTTTTTAAATTTTTTTATGTATATTCAATATTCGGTAATATTATTGCAATATTTTTAAATGTCGGAAAAGTAAATTTTCAATAATAGAAAATTTATTGTTGGCAATATCAATGAGATTCAATTACATTTAGTTTTATAAGTTTTATTAGTAAGATGTTATAGATGCAGCTAGGATCTTTACTGCATATTTTTTAATTTTATAATATAGAGAAAAAATAAAAAAAATATTAGTTACAAATAATACCTCACTTTCAAAAATAAATTTTTAAAACGATTTATTTGAAGTAATAAATAATAAGAATATATTACTAAAAAAATTTGTACTCCTCCTTAAATAAATAAGTTTTTTGCATTTAAAAATTCAGATAGAGTTGAATAAAAGTTAAATATTTTTAATTATAAATTAAAAATAATGTGCCTCAATAATAATAACAATTAATTTACGTAAAATAGTTTTGAAAGTATTTTGTAAAGAGCATTTTTTACAATAATTGTCATTTGTACAACGATATAATATTTAGTGATATTTGTTAATAATATTTAATAAATATTATTTAAAATCGATAACTTTCATTATATTTTACAATACAATATTTTAGTATACATCGCTTTTTTGCAATTTATTCAAGTCACTATTACAATTTATTATTTTTTTAACATAAATATTGTCAGTTTCTCTTTTAATGTGTAATTGTTTACGATTTTAAATAACCCCTACTAAATCGTATATTTTATTTCAAATTCTTTAAAATTATTTCATAAAGAGGTTTTTCAAACAGTAATGAACTACAACAAAAATTTTATTTTGTATATTATTTTATTTAATTAAATTTTTGGCTGACCATACAGCTGTTTCGAGTATTGCCAAATACCCATCATCAGTGGTATTGGAAATAATTCTTGTATTTAGTATTCGTATTAAATTATTTTTTCTTTGTTAAATCATATTTAAATCACTTCCCAAGCATATGGTATGCAGTTTCTCGCTCTTCTCTACAGTATCTGTAGTTTGAGTTGGATTGAATTCCTAATTTTGTTAGGTGATTATTCAATCTACAGTGACCGGTGATGATTCTTAGGTTATTTTTGAATTGTTTTATGCAATATTTAAAGCGTTTAAGGTTATAACTCTCTAAATGCATTTTAGATTATGATAGGCTTGGTAGCCTTTCCCAATAGAGTAAAATTCAAATACAATCCGGAGACATTTATCATAATTAATATTACAAAAATTACATTTATTATAATATATATTACTTAACACAACGTTCCTCTTACATGAAATTCCTCAAGCATGCTATAAGCTTAAATATTTCTTCCTAGTATTATTGTCTCTAATAATCTACACTTTTTAGTAGTTATACTTCCATATTTTCCTTTCGTTGGACTGACATTGTATGTATTTTTCGTATCCAAACACAGCATAGCTCTCAAATATTTCTTTTATTATTTTTTAATATGATTTCCGTACAAGTATGGAAACCATACTTGGTCTGAAAACCGTTTCAACGAAATATGGCCATTATGTGCATTGTTCCCAAAACAATCGAAAAACAATTGTT